ATCAGCCTTGCTCTGGGTAAGAGGCCTGGTTCTTGGGGCAGCATCTCTGGATTGCACAAATCAAAGAGCTGCTTTGTGTCTTGGTCTCGCTCCAGTCCGTGTCGCTTCTCAAGCTCATTTTTCTCCTTTGCCCTCACGGTTTCCCCCTCCCCACCTCAAATGGGGGGAGCTTTAAGGCCTTTGTGTGGGCCTGGTGTGCGCAGGCAGCCTGTGCTGGGCCTTGGCAAGGGGGAGAGTGCTGAGACAGTCCCAGGGCAGCGGGAGGGAGGGTTGTCAAGAACCCCACCAGGAGAGGAAGTTCCTCAGGGGAGATTTCCCCCTGACTTCTCCTCTGTTTCCTTGGCTTTTCTCAAACACAGCTCCTTCCCTTCCCTTCTGTCAGAGATTCTTCAGCTGGGATTCCTGCATGGCAGGGGTTGGACTAGATGACCCTTGGGGTCCCTTTCAACTCTCCTATTCTGCCATGCCTGCTGCTGCTGCTATTCTACTAATGCTTGGCATCAGTGCAGTAATCGGTGTTAGAGGGGGGTCTGGGAGGAGGAGGCGGCAGCAGTGGCATGTTTGGACAGGGAACTACATGGGCTGTTGCTGCCAGTTTCATTGGGCTGGCAAGGGCCTTCTGGGCTCAGAGCCTGAGGGAGGGGGCATCAGGAGGTGGGCCATTTCCTCAGAGGGCCAGTCGGTGTTGATGCCAACTTCTTTTCTGTGTGTGTGTGTGTGTGTGTGTGTGTGTGTGTAGAGAGAGAGAGAGCCAGTCCCCTCTTCCTGCCACCCTGGAGTTCTGTTTCTGTTGCTGGGGTGCCAGTGAGGCTTTGCTATCATAGAATTGTAGGATTTTACAGCTGGCCGGGGGCCTCGAGGGTCATCTAGTCCAACCCCCTGCAATGAAGTCATCTCATCTCAAGCACGCATGACAGGTGGCCATCCAAACTCTGCTTTAAAACCTCCAAGGAAGGAGAGTCCACCACCTCCCAAGGGATTTCATTCCACCGACAAACAGCTCTTACTGTCAGAGAGTTCTTCCTGATGTTCAGTTGGAATCTCCTTTCTTGTCATTTGACTCCATCGGTTTGGGTCCTACCTTCCAGAGCAGAAAACAAGCTTGCTCCCTCTTCCATGTGACAGCCCTCCAGATACTTGAAGATGGCTCTCATATCTCCATCTCAGTCTCTACCAGGCTAAACATACCCAACACCCTCAAACGTTCCTCATCAGGCTTGGTTTCCTGACCCTTGGTCGCCCTCCTCTGCACATGTTCCAGCTTGTCAATATACTTAAATTGTGGCGCCCAGAACTGGACACAGTGTCCCATGTGTGGTCTGACTAAGGCAGAAGAGAGTGGGACTTTTGCTTCCCTTGATCTGGACACTAGACTTCTACCACTTGGGCTTTTTTTGCTGCTGCCTCACACTGTGGACTCATGTGAATCTTGTGTTCCACCAAGACCCCGGGATCCTTTCCACGTGTCCTGCTAGTAAGCTAGTGTCCCCCATCCTATATTGGCACATCTGATCTTCCTGCCTAAGTGCAGAACCTGACATTTGTCCCTATTGAGATTCCTTCTGCTGCTTTGGGCCCAGCTCTCCAATCTGTGAGGGTCGTATTTAATCCTGATTCAGTCTTCTGCGACATCAGCTGCCCCTTGGCCCCGGTGGCTCTGGCTTGGCTGGCCTATCCTTGCTGGGTGATCTCACTTCTCTTCCAGCAGGGCAAGGAAGGAATTGGGCGGGCCAAGTAGGCTGTGTTTGCTGTTGGGTGGGGTTTTGCCTGAGGCCAGGTCTGACCTTGGTGCAGCCGCCAGCTTCCCCTCCTCTGGAAGGAGGAGAGAGCCCTGCTCCATGTCTCCCGGTAGCATTGCAGCAGGAATGCTTCCCTCCCCCAGCACACGCTCACATCAGCTGATGCGGAGGGAAAGTAATCCTGCCGAGATCCTGTGCACCAGAGAGATCCCTAAAGGAACTGAACAGGATTGCTGTCCCTCCCCATCATCGGGTGGGAGAGGCGGACCTGTTTAGCTGTGGGCTCTGGCGCACCTGCAACCGAGCGCTAAGCAGATTGCTCTTGCTTTGCCTTGGCTGAACCCATGCGCAGCCTCTGCCGACTGGAGGCGGCCTGTGCAAAGGCCTTTCCTTCCGGGGGTGCAAAGGGGGGTCTCCAGAGAGCAGCCCTGCGGAGGAGGGAGAGGCTGCCTGCTGGCCCTGGGAGGAGCTGCCTTGGCCTCCGGGAGCAAGTGGGCTGGGCACTGGGCGCAAACGGGACCGTCTTGCCCCCCACGGACCCAAGGGAGACTTTGGTCATTTGGATGTGAACCTGCCCCCCACAGGGCCCAGCAGACACGGGGTGGGGTCTGGGTTGGGGGTGTTTGGGAAGCGCTGCCGGCTGCGACGGGTTGTGATGCTGTTTCTGCCGCCGCCTCTTGCAGTGCTCCTGAGATTCCGGACCCTCAAGGGCCGGGACCCTTCCCTGCAGAGCTGCTCAGAGGACGCCGAGGTGCTCCTGCAGATGCGCACAGATGTGCTGGCCTCTCTCGGGGTCGCGGCTGACCTGCTCCCGGATGACTTTGCCAGGTGGGTGGCGGCCCCTTGAGCCTGCTCCACGGAGGCCAGGACCCCTGAGGACGGACCCCCACCGCTAGGCTTTGCTGCTGCCTTGTCGTCAGCGCTCCCCTGAGTCGGCCCCATGGCACATCCGAGTTGTGGAACCTTGAATGCCCGGGCTGCACTGCCCCACGTCCAGCATTTTGGGAAGGGCGGTGGCTCAACCCTGGCAGGACCACACTGGTCCCCTCCTCCTCTGGGAGGGCTGACCGGACCCTCTGAAGGCTCATGTGGGTCTGCAGGGCCAGAGCAGGGACCGGCCTGTCCTGCCTTCAGCTGCCGGGCCATTCAGCTCCACGTGGCTGAGGGAGCGGCTGCTGCCGGGCCTTTCTCTTGGGTGACTTCAGGCCGTCAATCCTGAAAGGGCCTCAGTTGCTGGGCAATCCCGGGTGCCGCAGTGCTGCACTGCTGCTTGTGGGATGGAGGGGGCAGCTCTGTGACCTTGGGGGGGGGGAGGCGGCTGCTTCTTTCCTCCTGGAGGGAGGGGCAGCGGAAGGCCCTCTTGTGCCCCTCAGGCGAGGCTTCTGAGCAGCCCCCCACCACATTGGCATGTCTCTGCCTGCGACCCACCAGGGGTTACGGAGAATGTTGGGAGAGGAAGAATGTGGGGGGGTGGCGGCTGGGGACTATGTTTAGCAAGGCTGTCTGGAGCATGGGACGGGGGCAGCCTGCCCAGCCCCCTCAGGGCTGTGAGGAATGCCCAGGGACAACACCAGGCCGGGATTGGGTTGCCCCGACTAAACTGGGCTGTGGCTGCCCTCGGCCGACAACGCTCCCCTTGGCATGTTGCTTCTGTGGGGGCTCCGCAAAGAGATGTTTCCACAGGGCCCCCCCTCTGACACACCCCTTTCTCTCTCTCAGCTCCTGCTGCTCCGAAGTGGCTCCCGTCTGCGCTGTGGTCGGAGGAGTGCTGGGCCAGGAGGTGGTCAAGGTGAGGCCCCTGGCCCTGGATTCCCCGCAGGGCGGGGGGAGCGGCTCTTGCTTGCGGCCCCACCCACAGGCAGCACAGCTGCAGGCCATATCTGGTGTCTCATCCCCCTGCCCCCCAGCTGGGAACATTCCTGGAGAGAAGAGGGGGAGGATCCTTGCTGCCCCCTTGGCCCTTCCTGGGCCCTGCCAGCATGGGTCTTCCGGGCCCCCTCTTTTCCCACCCAGCTCTCCCTCTTTGCTCACGCTGCCTGCCCCCCTCTTCTCCAGGCCCTCTCTCAGCGGGATGCTCCCCTCAACAACTTCTTCTTCTTTGACGGCATGAGGGGCAACGGGATGGTGGAGTGCCTGACCCCCAACTGAGCCTGGGCCACAACCCCGGAGCCCTTGGTAGTCCTGGACCAGGTGCCCACAGCCCCATGGGGATCTTCCCTCTGTGACACCTCTGGCCTTGGGAGATTGGGGGGGGGCTGTTGCTGATGCCCCCCTTCCTGCCTCGCCACGAAGGGGGCGTGTGCGTGTTACTTTACCACTCAATAAACTTTTTTTAGTACCATTTCTCTCCTGCAGCGCGTTTGACTGGAGCCTATTTGTCCTTAAATGGAGAGGGGTGGGGGGTCCCCCTCTGTTCCTGTTTCCCCCCAGGGGGCCCTGGACTATTCTTGCCTGGCTGGGCACGGGAGGCGGTTTGGGGGCAAGGCGATGGCCTGTGCCCAGCAGCTGTTGGGGCTGAAGGTGGTCCCCCTGCTAACCTGGCCAGGGGCTCCTCTGTGGCTTGGCAGAGCCGGGCACGGGGGGGGGGGTGTCCTGCCCAGGGACTCCCAGCACGGCCTCTGTTCCTGGCGCGGCATCATGGGAGGGTGGGGCTGCTTTGTGGTCAAGCAGCCAGAGGGTCAGCAGAATGCCCGCCCTGCTGTTGGAGGAAGCGAAGGTGAGGCTGGCCAAGGAAGGCCGCAGGTCCTGCTGGGCGGGGCTGCCTTTGGGGTCAGCTCTGCATTCCTCCTTCCCCACAGCTGCGCTCCCTGGGGAAAAAGGTCACCTTGGCGCTTGCGGGGGGGGGGGGGCTTTGAAAGACCTGGGCTGATCTCCCTCTGGGCCCTGAGCTGACGGCCTGGCCCTCTCCAGCTCCGTGGGGCAGCCCTCAGGATCGCAACAGCTCAGTCAGCCCCACTGACCAATATCCCACACGGCCTGCTCCAGTGGGGGGGTTTCCCCTCTCCAGTTGTACGTACCAAGTTGTGGCTCAAAGCCCCCCAGCTCCACTGAGAAGGCCTCCCCCCGGCTGGAGCGTCACTGCTGCCAGGCCTGACCTTGGGTGGCAAAGCCACTTCCTATGTCCTCTGTTTACAAGCAAAAATCACATGTAGGCCTTGACAATACAACTTCTTAGTCCAGTTTTTATTGAAAAGGAAACATACAAAATTCTGCCTCCCCCCCAAAGTACAGACCCCGGACCCCCCCTCCTCCCCCCTCAAGTATCTACAGGCAGCACCAAGTTCTCCTGTACAAGTTCTAGATTGTCCACAGGATGTATATACACACAGCAGCTTCCGCTGTACAGCCCCCCCCTGCCCCCTATGTACAAGATGGCCACGCCCCCTATTTACAGCTTGGCCCGCCCCCAGAAGGAAACCGGGCCCTGTGCAATTGTCTCCCCCCTCCTCCCGCCCCCCCCCCTCTGTACAGGCTCCATTGAACAGTATTGACATAGTGCTAACTTGCTTGGCGTCCCAGCTGAGCAGCTCTCCTTAAGGCACTGCTGGGCTGGGGGCAGAAGGAAGCAGCCCTGCGCGCCCCCCTCGCTCACGGGCCCCGGCGGGGCGGCGCGGGGGGGCGGCTCCAGTCCCGGCTGGGTTCCCCCCTGGCCAGCAGGAGGACCACGAGGAGGAGGCGCTTCGGGCAGCGGCGGCTAGTTGGGGCGCAGGCCGGCCAGGCCCTCCGCCGGCAGGTTGTACAAGATGCCCAGTAGCTGGAAGACGAAGTGGGAGACGTGGCCCCAGAGGGCGCCCTGCGGCCGGCGCTGCTCCTGCGGGGAGAGGAGGAGAGGGCGCAGGTGAGCGGGGCAGGCGGGCAGCGGCGGGGCGGGCACTGCCCTGCCCAGGCTCCCGTGCCCGGCCGCCTGCCATCCCGCGCTATTTATAGGAGATGAGTCAGCGGCGGCGGCGGCGCCTGCCCAGCTCCCTGGGCAAAGCAGCGGCGGAGGACGGGGCTGGGCGGTCGGGCACCCCCCCCCCGTGCCACCAGCATCCCGGGCACGCGCCCCCTCGGTGGTCCCCTCCCCGGCACCCACTTACCCTGTGCGCGTACTCGCGCTGGAACTGGTCTCCCAGGACTCGCAGGCGCGCCCCGATGGCTCTCTCCAGGCCGGGCGCGGGGGTCCTGAGCTGGGCGGGGGGCTCCTCCGGGCGGGGGGCGGCGGCGGGCGCGTCGCCTGCGGAAGGAAGGCAGCGGCGATGAGGGCGGCGAGGCGGGGAGGGCGGCAGCAGCAAGCCGAGGAGGGGCGGGAGGGGGCCGTTTCCTGTCTCCTTGGCAACTGCGGAGGGAAAAGGGATCATTCCAGGACACGGCCCCCCCCCGGCTGGCTGGCTGGCTGGGGCGAGCGCGCCGCGGGGAGCGCGCCTGCACCTGCCTCTTGCCCTGCAGCCCCCCACCCCGGGAGACTGGGGGGGGGGCGATGGTTGCAAGGGGCTGCCACTCGCTGCTCTCCGCCAGGGATGCTCCTCCTCGCCGCGCTTAGCTGGGGGCGGCCCCTCCCATAGTCTGCCCCCCCCCCAACACACGCATTTTTTTTTATGAGTCAGCGTTTCCACGCCAGGCTCAAGGAGGGCAGGGCGGCGGGCGCTTGGGGGGCACCCCCTGGGTGCAGTGCGGCCGAGTGGGGCGGGACCAAACCAGACTGAGGGGCAAACGGGGTACCCGCGAGACCCCCGCCCAATGCCTGCCCCCTGCGCGCACGCTTCCCGGGGGTCTAGGGGTGCGGAAAGTGGTCTGGTCTCGGTGGGGGGGGCAATAAAAGGAGCCCATAAGTGAACAGTCTGGCGCCCGACCTGGGTGCCTCGCCTGAGCCCCTTCCCACGTGCTCGCAGCCGCCGCGTGTTGCCCGCAAGGAGACGCAGCGCTCCGGAAGGAGGAGCGCCCGTCGCGGAAAAACAAAGGTCTGTCCTTGACGGGCGGGGGCGCAGAAAGGGGCTGGGCTGTGCCCGACCCCCAGGACTGCTCAGGTGGGGAGAGGAGCGGAGGGTCCGCCCCCTCTTCCGCGGGCACCTGCGGCTGGGAGACAGAGGGGCTGAGCCGCGCCCCTCTTGCCCCGCGGGCGCGCCAGCCCTTTCCTTGCGGGGCAGCTCCTGCGCAACAACCATCGCCCTGGCTGGGACCCCGGGAATGGGGGAGGCGCTCTGCCCATGCTCAGAGGCGCTTTGGGGGTCCCGCCGCCCTCCCCTCGCCCAGCAGCAGGCGCCCCGCCCCCCTCGAGCCCCCTCCCCAGGCACTCACCTCGCGTGGCCCCGGAGCGCATCCGCAAGGTCTCGTGTCCGATCGCGCAGCGGCAGAGGCCGTTCAGCCGGGGGGGCGAGGCGAGGGGCGCGCGGCAGAGGGGGGCGGCAGGGCCAGCGCCCCCCCCACAGGGCAGGCTGGGCTCCTGGACACAGCTGCTGTCGGCTCGGCGCGGCTCCCGTCCTGCAGTGGTCTGGCCATGGCGCTCGGCGGGGTCTGCGGGGCGAGCGGAGACGGGGCGGTCGGTGGGGGCGGGCGGGCTGGTGTTTGTAAACAAACCGCGCCGTGCCAGCTTCGTGGGGGGGGGGGTCCGTCTCCCTTCCTCCCGCCCCCCGATCCGGGCTGCCGCCCCCCTGCAGCCACGTGCGCCCCGCGCACCTCCCGCCTCCCCCGACGGGACGGTCCCTCCCCGGCCATCGCCCGCCCCACTTACTGCAGCTGCATGAACCCTCCGGGGGCGGGGCGGGGGTCTCGGGGCAGCGCAGGGGCTCCGTCGGCGGCGGTGGCGGCGGCGGGCGAGGCAGGAGAGCGACCCCGGCGAGCTGGAGCGGCGGCGGCGGCCAGAGTCTCTCTGCCAGGCGAGCGGGCAGCGGCAGCGCAGCCCCGGAGCCGGGCCCCGCCCCCGCCCTGACGTCACCGAGCCCCGCCCCCTCCGCCGCCTCCCGGAGGCAAGTTCGGGCTTGTGCGGGAGCCGGGGATCCCCCCGAGGGGCGCGGCCGGACGGCGGGACCCGCGCGCAGCAGGCGCCCCCTCCGTCGCGCTCCCCGCTCGACCCATTCCCGCGCGAGCAACTGAGGCTGGCCCGGGTCCGGCTTGGCGGGCAAACCTCCGCCCCGCCTCCCTCGGAGTAAACAAACAGGCGGAACCCGCCTCCCCGCGGACTAGCGCCATGCGGAGTGGCTCCAGCCAGAAAAGGACACGGAACACCGACGCGCTTAAGTGTTTTGCGCGCCGAGAGAAAAGAGCTTCCCTCCGCTTCAGGAACCGCAACTGAAAACAGGCAGCCATATGTTGTGCAAACAGGAAGTTCCAGGTTCAAAAATGAGGGTGGGGGCCACCTCTCTCCTGGCAAGCAGCTCCCCCAGCCAGATCAGAGCACCCGGCCCCGGGAGAATGGTTCCTGGCTGCAGCCTGCTGGGCTGTCTTCAAGGGCCTTGCAGTGCAGTAATCTAACCTGCCAGGGACTTCAGGCACGGAGGGCCAGACAGAGGCACAGCTCCCAGGTCAGGGGGCAGCTGGCAAAGCACCTGGGGTGGGGGGAAGGGGCTCCTGGTCACATCAGAAGGTCTGGACGCAGGTGCTGCCCACCCATTGCTTGAGGTGAGGGGGCAACCTGACCCAAAAGAGGCTGGACGCTTCTCCCAAGACATCAGCCTTGCTCAGGGTCACCTCCTCCACCAGGCACCAGAGCATAAGCAGAGAGCCTGCTGGATCAGACCTGTGGCCCAACTGGTCCAGCATCCTGTCAAAGGGAAGCCCACATGCAGGATCCAAGCACAAGACCCTTTCCCCTTGGGGTCAGTCAACTAGTTACAAATCCACTGACCTCTTCCCTGGCCCAGCCCACATCTCACCAGCTTCTCCACCAGAAGGGGTCCCCAACTGAGTCATAGAATCATAGACTCTTGGGGAGCTTCCTCAAAAGCCCTCCTGAAATCAAGATCCACTATGTCCACAGCATTCCCCTGATCCACCAAGCTTGTAACTCTAGCCCAAAATGAAATGAGATTCATTCGTCTGGTGTGACTTGTTTTTGGGAAACCCATGCAGGGTCTTAGAAGCGTTTGCTGGATCAGGCCACTGGCCCATCTAGTCCAGCCTCCTGCTCTCCCAGGGAATGGCCAGAAACCTGCAGTCAGGATCCGAGCACTAGGGCCCTCTCCCCTCCCGGCTGCCTCTGGCTGTGGAAGAAGAGCAGAGGGCCTTCTCGGTGGTGGCACCTGCCCTGTGGAACGCCCTCCCAGCAGATGTCAAGGAAATAAACAACTATCTGACTTTTAGGAGACATCTGAAGGCAGCCCTGATTAGGGAAGCTTTTCATGTTTGATTCCATTTTTAATATTCTTTTGGGAGCCGCCCAGAGCGCTCTCCTCCATGGTGAGCAATCCAGGACAAGGCCTGCGACTCTTGGGAAAGGGGAAGGCAAACTCCCAAGGCTTGGAAGGGGGCGGGGAGGGGGCATTTAGGAGGAGAGGAGGCCTCCTTGGCAAGCCGAGTCAGGCAGCCTTTGTTGAAGGAGGCTGGCCGGGGGATTTCCAGCAGCTGACCCTTTGTGGAGCTGGGCTGTGGGCCTCTTCCCCATCAGAGGGGCCCGTGCTGGGCTCTGGGTCAGGGGGTCATCCCCACAGCTGAGCGGGAGGGAGGGGAGCGAGGAGGGGAGGCGTTTTCTAGCTGAACCTTTTGGCCTGGCCTATGGCAGAGAGTGTCATCCATGGCCGCCAACGCACACATTGGCGGAGGTGCCTGGCTTTGGTGTACAAAGCTGTGTGGGTGTGTCTGCTTGCACATTGGAAAAGAGTGTCATGTATGAAGATGTTGGGGACACGTGTGTCACTCACAGGTCCTTGCTGTGATTCTCACTCACATTGAAATAGGGGCCTGAATGGAGGTCCCATGGCAGAACAGGCTGACAAGAGTAACATCATCATCATTACTACAGTATTATTATTATTATTATTAGTCCTTCCTGACTCCAAGATGTGGTGGGTGGGGACATTGTGGCATTATGAGTCCCCTGGGATGCGGGTGGTGCTGTGGTCTAAACCACTGAGCCTTTTGGGCTTGCTGATCAGAAGGTTGGCGGTTCAAATCTGTGCAACGGGGTGAGCTCCCGTTGCTCGGTCCCCGCTCCTGCCAACCTAGCAGTTCGAAAACATGCCAGCGCAAGTAGATAAATAGGTACTGCTGTGGTGGGAAGGTAAATAGTGCTCTGGTTTCTGTCACAGTGTTCTGTTGCGCCAGAAGCGGTTTAGTCCTGCTGGCCACATGACCCGGAAAGCTGCCTGTGGACAAACACCGGCTCCCTCGGCCTGAAACGAGATGAGCGCCGCAACCCCATAGTCGCCTTTGACTGGACTTAACCGTCCAGGGGTCATTCACCTTCACCTTCTGAGGCCCCATCCTGTACACCCAACACCTACGTATAAGGGATGCATGTTTCTGAAAGCAGGGAAGAATATTCCAGGAGGCAGAAGGAGCCGTCAAGTCACTCTTTGCAGATCAGAGCTGCTTCTCTGCCCATTGTCAGCTAAGGACCCAAGTGCAGCCTAGTCCAGCGTCCTGTTCTCACAGTGGCCAGCCAGGTGCCCCAAATGGACCAAGAGCTCCTCTCCCTTCTGACAGTTTCCAGCTGTGAAGGCAAGAGCACAGCTGTCTGGAGCCACTGAGAGTCTTTTCCTCCTGGATGATTTGCCCAGTCCTCTTTGAAAGCCATCCACTGGTGGCCGTCCTGTGGGAGTGAGTTCCACAGGCTGAAATCCCACCGGCTGGGCAAACTGCCACCAAACTGAGGGAGCCCCAGCGTCAAGCTAGAGGATTTGGGGTGGGGGACACAAGCCCGACTCAAACAGCAAAAGGGACTGGGTGGGAAAGGCAAGGGGGGGGTCCCCAGCAGAGGAAGGGGCCCAGTGGAGAGGACAGTGGGGCAGGGAGACTGACAGCTCAGAGAAGAGGCTGGGCGGCCTTCTGTGCTAAGGAAGGACAGGTCGTGTTTGGGGTCTTTCAGATGGAATCCGATGACCAAATGGGCACAATGGAAGTTCCTGAAATGATGGATGGCTTGGAGACAGTCCATGGGAATAAAGGGATCCTTTTCCCTCATCATCCTTGAATTCAGGCCCAGCCGTGAAGCTGCTTCCCCTTCCCCTGGGAAGGTCACTGACGCCGCCCGGAGGAGACACCTGTTTACATGAGGATGAACATGCCTTTGAGCATGCGAAGAGTGCCAGCCCCCCATGCTTGGTAGCTTGGGTGTGCTGGATCTCCGCGGGTGGGCAGCGTGGGCAAGGCGGCCCGAGTGCCAGGCGGGCGAGGGGGGGTCTGGAGTGGCGCCGCCCCTCCCGCTCCCCTGCTGCTGCTCCTCCCCTGCCCCCCCCCGTGCCCTCCGGTGGAGGGATCCCGCCGCGTGGCTGGCTGAGCCGAAGCGCCGCGGAGCCAACGAGCGCCCCGTCGCCGGGACGAGCAGGCGGGCCGCGGCCAATGGCAGCGCGAGGCGTCGGGCCGTCGGAGCGCCTTCGCCGCTGTTTCTATTGCCCCCCCCCTTCTCCCTCCCGCGCTGACATCACTGGCTGTTTATTCCTCCTTCGCCGAGAGCGGGGGGGGGGGAGGCGCTGGGCTGGCACATGCGCTCGGCCGGGCATGAGTAACGCTTCGCTGTGGCGGCTGCGGCGCAGGGCGAATTTGCCCAGTGACAGCCACTCAGCAGATGCCCGCCTCGCGATGATGTCACCCCTGGGGGCGGCAGGAGGGAGGCGGGCAGCAGGCAGCGCTCCTTCGACGGGGCGGACGCGCGCCAGCGCCAAAAGCGCACGGCTGGCCCCGCGCGCGGCGCAGGACGCTCCTGTTGCAGAGGCCCGCGCGCGATACCAGGGAGCGGAGGGGGACCCACCTGCTGCCAGGATCCCGCCCCGCGCCCCCCCCTTTGTCCTCCTCCTCCCCCCCCCCATGGCCCACGCGGCTGGTCGCCTCCTCTGCAAAGTTCCCTTCGCTCTGGTGGAACCTCCAGGCCCAGAGACAGTCTATCTCGCTCTCTAGGCAGGGAGGGGCATTGGGCCACTGCGAGCAGAGGGGGCTGGACGGGGTGGGCCACGGGCCTGATCCAGCGCCACGCAGGGGGGCCTCGCAAGAGCAGGGCAGGGCTGCGCGCATCCCGCTTCCCAGCTCGGAGCGAGTCAAGCCCGCGGTTCTCCTCCTCTCTCCTTATCCCCGAGTGAAATAAGGACATGCTGGGATTCCAGCCCTCCAGAGGCGTCCCGGGCGCCCGAGGGCGGGGGCGCGGGGCGTGTTTCTCGGCCCCGGAACACCGACGGGGAGTTCTCTCCTTAGCAACGCGCTTTCCGCCTTTTCCTTCCCTCCCTCTCGGTCTCCCGCCAGGCAACAGCCCCCTGCGAAGTCGGCCGCCCTGCTCCTCCTTGAGCCTGGATGAGGCCCAGGCGGCCCGAGGGGGCGTCCGAGGACCAGCCCGCCTCTGCCCTGGCTCCTCCGGCTCTCCTCCCCGGGCCCGACTCCCTCGCTCTTCCCAGCGGGGCCTCGTCTCCCTGCCTCAGTTCCCCCTCGGGGTAAGGGGCGCAAGAGGGGCAGCAAGGCCAGAGGCAGGGGCGCCCCTTTGCGCCACAGCCTGCGCCCTGGGACCCTTTCGCAGCCCCGCGCATTGCAGGGGGCGAGGCTGGATGACCCTGGGGACCCTTCCTGCTCTCCAGACCCAGGTGTCCAGCCCAGCTGCGTTTGGGGTCCCCTGCACGGGGGGGGGTCCCTCGTGCCCCCCAAGCAAGGCTGGCGACGTCCTTGCCCGGCTCTCGGGCTCCTCACCCGGGGAGGGTCGGGACGCCCCCACGTGCCCACCCCAAATGCTCCCGGAACCCGCGCAATGCACGGGGCTCCCCGTCTACTCGCGAGGAAGGAGCCCCCCCCTGCGCGGGTTTGTTTTGCAGCAGGGGCAGCGGAGCGTGTCTAACCCCCCGCCGGTTCCGCTCGGCTGCCTGGACACCCCCGCCCCCCCTGCCTTCCCATTGGCTGGCGGCGGCGGCGGCGCGCAGCCACTCAGCGCCGAGTAGGCGCCTGTTTCCAAAGGAAGAGCGCCACGCGCGCCGCGCGGAGCCACGGCAACACGGCCCGGCCGGGCAGGCGGGCGAACGGGCAGGCGCGGCAGAGACGGGGAGGCCCGGCCTGGCTTGCGCGCCCCCGGTGGGTGGGGTTCCCCGGGCGCGCCTGCTGCGCCTCGGCCGGCCTCCGTTGCCCTGCGTGGGGCTGCTGCGTGGGGAGCTCCTTCTCCCCCTCTGTCCCCCCAACACAGGCCCCGAAGGTGTAGCCCCTCACGTCGCCCCATTTCACAGGCGGTGGGGCGAAGCAGCCAGGCTAGTGCTCGGCCAAGGGGAGCTTGGCGCAGGGGGGCTGGACTAGATGACTCTGGGGGTCTCGTCCGGCTTCTATGAGCCTATGGTCCATGGGCGCCAAGGCATAGCTGTCAGTTTTCAGATTTGAAAATAAGGGATCAGCTACCTCACCTGTCCGGGGACAGTTTATGGGATATCTAACCTTCTGGGATAGCAGCAGGAAACAGCGTGAGAATAAGGGAATTTCCCGCAAAAAAAGGGAGGGTTGACAGCTATGCGCCAAGGCAGCACCCCAGCTCTGCCCGCCGGGGGCAGCTTTCTGCTGGGCGGGGGGGAGCAGGTTGGTGGCGCAGCCGATGCCCAGATGTTCAGGGCGCGGAGCGCTCCGTGGGCCACGTGCGGACGCAGCTG